GCGGTCCAAACCAGGATCACAGCTTCCCTCTTTTTCACTCATCACCCTCTGACCTACGCTGCTTAGCGGTTAGAGTAAAATTACCCATTCCTGGTCTGGTTATCTCATTAATTCCACTAAACCCACAAACGAGTGCACTTTGCACAAAAACGAGAGTCTGTTACGTGGCTTTGTCCAGCTCCTGTTATGTGGCCTCAACTGTTCTAGCCCTTTCTTGCCAACGAGTCCCTGCAGCTCAGACCAGCACCAAACGTTCCCCCTTCCCACTAACCGTATCCAAACTACGTTACCCAAGCGTTCGGAGAAGCGACACCCATGACAGCTGCGGTATTTCATTGATGCAAGAACGGGTACGTTAGTGCAGAAATAGAAGTCAAGTCGAGCCAAATTTCAATAAAAATTGTCAGCTGTCTGATCGAAGCGTGCATGGTGAAATCTTATGTTCAACAACTCCGTCTCTTAGTCATCCGAAACGAATCACTTCCACTATCGTTTCTTCAGTCTGTTTCTTAAGCGGTAAGAATTTAAAGAGATAACCAGTCCTCTCCTGTAGAAAACAGCAACTTTTCGCTGCAGTTTGTCGTTATCTAGATTATTTATAATATGCACAATATTTAGGCTGTTCAAATATGTCGACCAAAAATTACTCGAGAAGGATACATACAGGAAGTTTGCAAAGCTTACCGAGTTTTTCGAGCCACAGACTGGAATTCCCGAGAAACAGACCACAGCAGTTCGTTTTTATTTGATACTTGAACCAAATTTGATACTTAAATCTACTACATTATCATCAAACGAAACCCATGATGCTCTCCAGTAGTGCAACCGACAACATACCATGCTCTTTGTTCATTTCGTAGTTGTTTTGTCTAATGCTGCATGGTTTGTTGGTCAGCATTCTGACAATTCCTCGACATTCCTTTCGTCTGTTGAAAAGATTCCTGGTCCAGTAGCCCTCCCGATCGAATTTTTAATTCCTCTTGCAATTTTCAAGTTAAAATTACCATGCTCTTAATCAAATATAATAACAGGCTCAACACCAGTAAATCGGACTTTCCTTTACGTCAAATATGTAGAGAAAAAGCTATCGACACCACTGCAACCAGGCAGTTGCTTTTGCATTGTGCTGTCACACAGAGTGACAGTACACCCCAAAAGCAACTGCTTGCTAAAGACCCTGTCTCTCGTACTAAGTGAAAAGTATTAGATGTTTCGGGTTTTTCCTGGGCGATCATGAACACTGCATATACCAGAACTTCTCCTCCAGAATGAATACAAGTCAGACGAGGAAGTAGCATGCTCTCATTCTAATCCATTCTTTCTGAATTGTTAAGAATATGATATTCTTTATCATTTCAACTTCTTAGTTATCCTCTGATTATCTTGTTAAAATAAAGCAAAAAAAGGAAATTGCTATGACCGTTGAAAAGGAAATTGCTATGACTGTTGAAACGGAACTATACCTCAGTTTTTTTGAAAAATTTGTTACAAAACTGACGTGCTACTTCTCGTCAGCGAAAAGCTGCAGCGCTCCCTTCCACTCGATTCTGATTTTAAATCATTTCACTTAAGCGTTCTAGTTCCTCCTTCCATGCTTTTCCAGTGCCGTGAGCTTAAATCCTTAATGGCCTACTTTATTGCCTTTGTTTCCTACCCCTCAAATCACAGTATTAATATTCTGCTGAAAAGGAGAGAATAAAACTTAAAGGTTTATAGTGTTTTCTTCCAAGAGCGGATGATTTTTGCAGAAGCAAAAAGCGGTGGATGAATTTATTGATGCGATCCTAAAGACGATAGTGTGGAAGCATCTGTTTCTTTATTTGAATTCAAAAGGTGAATTTAAATGAAACAGGTATTTTGGATCCATGTAAAATTTACCTGAAATAGCTAGTTTCCCGAGAAATTAGCTCTTATAGGGAATTTTAGCAGATCTTGAGAAAATTTATCTCTTCATAAAACAAAACGAACGTCAGGATCGTAGCAGTCAAAAACGATTGAAGAAGTTACTAGCTAAAAATTTGAAGAACAAGACTAAATTGTGGCTGATTCAATTGGGAACTAAGTTGCATTTCGATAATCAACAGTAGCCATAAAAAGCGAAAAAGTTATTTTTGTTAGAGAATGAATGGAATGCGAGGAAGTTGAAAGCCTATTACAAATATGAGTGTAGAATCCTGATTTCTTATATTTCCAAAAAAAAAAAATTTATTCTAGAATGGATGAGCATCAAGTTCTTCCCCTCCTACTCTACCAAGGAAATCTCCCTGCCTCCATAAGCTTTCGTCCACTTTTCTGGCCCCAACAGCGTCCCTGAAGAACACATAGCTAAGCTAGCCTCATTTAACTTGCCCCAAACCACTATTATGTTAAGGTCATCCATTTGCACAAACACACGACATATTTCGCCGCTGGATCCATCAGCTCTGGTTTAC